TCAGGGGTTAATGTTCCTCATTATTATTATTATTATTGCATGGTAACCATGGGACTTTAAACCAGATAAAGATACATATGGTAATGCAGTTTATTAATGACAGATGAAATCAAATTACAACACAGGTCTCTGTCCGTCTTCTATAAATGTGTTTTATACTGTAATTTTAAAACTTTGTTGATGTTTCCAATTTGTTATCGTTTTCAACTGAAGACGATGCACTCAGACGTTTTGAGCAAAAACAGGATGTCATGCAGAAAATGCTGGGAGAGCACAGAGACGAGCAAAGAAAATCTGCAGAGGTCCAACAGTCCAAAAGCAGACATTGAAGCAGACAGAGGATGATGCAAATATCCAAACCCAAAACAGGGAGACCCAAATGAAAAGAGTCTGAAAAACTGTTCCCTAACTCGGCCTTGTTCAAGACATGGGGGGCAAATCTCTCTGAGGATGACCAAAGAGAGGCTCAGAGCCTGTATGAGAAGTATGGGTACAATGTTTATCTGAGCGATCGCCTCCCTCTGGATCGACCTCTTCCAGATACCAGAGATCCTCGGTACAACTTTCATTTTATATGATTTCAATCTTTCATTCTCTCTTCTGTACATACAAAGAAAAAAAAATCCAGACAGTTTAGTCCACTCAGTTCATTTCTTGCTAAAATATTTCAAATTTCTAAACAAATACAGTGGTAAATAATTCTTTTTAATGAATAGGTGTCTGAAAAAGAGTTACCCCAAGGACCTGCCAAGTCTCAGTGTGGTGCTCATCTACCTGGATGAAGCCCTGTCTGTTCTCCAAAGAGCCCTGCGCAGCATCATCGACCGCACTCCTAAAAACCTGCTGAAGGAGATAATAATGGTTCTAATGGTAGGCTGGTTATAAAGAAAGAACATCTGTGACAATAAAAAGTAATTATAGGGCATGCAGATTATTGTAAGTCAATACAGGCTGTTAACATGATGTTTTATGTGCACGCCTCTCATTTTCCTTTCCTGTTCACATCTGCCAATTCAAACAAACCATCAAAAGTTGAGTGAAGATCATCATGTCACATGTTTGTGACTAGTTTTCTTGTTTGGACGGCTTATATACATATCTGTGAAAACTGGTGTTCACTCTGTGTTGTAGCATTTTGATGACACCCAGTTTGTGCTCCAGTGGATGATGAGAGTCAAACCTTAAATACTAATCTGTATGCGTAGGTTTACGTCAAAGACTGATTTCTAGAACAACAAAGTGACCAAGTGTTCCAAGCTTTTGCATAATTTAAAAGCTGAACATGGGTGTAGTATTTTAATTGTAAAAGACACCAAGTGCAGGTGACTTCCACTTAATACCAATATTTACCAGCTGCCATTAGGGCTGCCACGATTAGTCGACTAGTCACGATTACGTCGACTATCAAAATCGTCGACGACTGATTTAATAGTCGACGCGTCGTTTGAACCTTTGTAAGATCACAAAAGACGCAGGAATAAGTAGCAGGATTTAAGAGTGTAATAACGGACTGAAACAGAAGATGGCAGCACTGCATGTACAAGGATGCCAGCT